ACAATTTTATCTTTGATCACATAATTAGAAAAAAGACTCGTCAGGAAGCAAGAACTTAGCAAGAATCAATTAAGGGAATCAATAATCTATTTTTTTTTACCAATTCCTGAGTCACAATAGTGGCAATTTCATCATCAGAGATTATACGAATTAAATACTGAGATGGATAGCAATTCAATTCGACAATCTACCTATGATGCTGAATATTGTTTCATGTCTTGTTGTGATAAGCATTGAGACCTTGTCTTTTTGATTAAACAATAAGAGGTCTTGATACAAATTCATTATTAAATCATGCTTATCAAGTCCATAGTAAATCCCTCACTAATTAAAGCATGTCTTTGTCAAAGAATAACATAAATCCGAGGTCTAATTATCTGTTTGGCTCAATGTTCTAAATAAAACTTTTTTTTTCTTAGTGCCTTGCATATTTTATTTATTTCGGCCAAAGCTCCATCCAAAGTCTTTATTTTTAGGAGCCTAGCCATAATTTTAAATTTTAGGCCTGAGCCTGTCCAGTCCCAAATTTAATGAAAAATATAACTAAACGCATATTTAACCAATCAATTAATATAAAAATGTAATTCCTTTACCCTAATCTTTAGAGAAATCTATTTTATTGCTTAGAATCTTTTTTATATTTTTTGAGTCAAAAAAAATCAAAAGCCTTAACCCTATTTTTTAAAAAAATATTTTTAGACCCAAGCCAAACTTTAACTTAATTTCCAGGTTCAACTTAGTCTGTCTAAAGGCCGATAAATATAAAATTGTAGTTTCCATCAAACTCCATTCCCGATATCGCAACTGATGTAATTCATTTAAGATAATGCATTCGCGACAATGAATTCGCGATAATACATTCGCGGTAATGCGTTCGCTATTATATTTTCGCTGTATTATACTCGCTATATGCATTCGCTATAATATCTTATATAGAAATCTTCAATTGACGGTTTTGGTTTTTTAGGTAGGACAAAATTATGGTGCTTCTATTAAATCAAAAATATTGGTTTCTCTATAAATATGTGGAACCCTAAATAGAGATCGACACTTTTCGACACTCAATATATTAAAGCCATCGCATACATCTAAATGTGTATCATTAGAGATTAATGAATTCTTAGTTATCTATATTAAAAAGATCTATGAATAAATTGAGAATAATAAAATAGAAAGAAAATTATATTTAGAAACGTTCCGAAACTCAGAATGAACGGGAATGTGACATATTTTTTACCCAAACAACTGGTTAAAACCTTTTCTTAATTAAAATTTGAATCAAGATTCTCTTCCGTCATGTTATATCCATAAGGGTAGAGTTAAGAACCCTTCTATAGGCTAATTTAGGTAGCTGACATATAAATGCAATATATAAAAATTTTAAAAATGGTTGGTTCAATTTAGATTCTCTTTAATAACGGTTAATACATATTTAACAAATCGTTTCAGGTTTGGTTTAGCTGAGTTAATATTCAAGCTAAACCTTGATATGAACTAAAAAGATTTTACAAAAAAACCATTGTTGAAACAAATAAAGTCATCGAAATAATACAACAAATAAACTGAATTGTATTATCAAAATGTTAATTTTGATATATTTTTCAAATCCCGCATAAATTTTTTGAACTCTATAATTGTCCCATATATAGTTTTCTATAGAAAATCAAGATCTATAAAATAATTCTCTACAAAATAATTCTCTACAATGTAATTCTCTACAAAATAATTCTCTACAATGTAATTCTCTACAAAATAATTCTCTATAAAGGTAATTCTCTTTAAAATCATTCTCTATAAACAACATTCTCTATAAAAACATTTTTTTTTGAAGTCATTCTCTATTAAGGACCTTTTATATACGACATTCTCTATAAAACCATTCTCTATTAACGGCTTCTCTATAAAATCATTCTCTATAAATTAATTATCTATAAAAATTATTCTCTATATAAAACATTCTCTATAAAACATTCTTTATAAAACATTCTCTATAAACTACATTCTCTATAAAACAATTCTCTATAAATGTTTCTCTATAATTGTTTTCTCTATAAATGTTTCCCTACATTCTCTATAATGGTTTCTCTATAAAGACGTGGAACCAATGAAATATGCCCGAAATCTTCCATTATTTATTTTTTAATAAAGTTTTGTAAAAATTATAATATTCAATATGCTATTAAATAAAAACAATATTAATCTTTAAATTGTTATTGATAATTTTTGTTATTATGTATTATATTAGAGAATTTACTTTATTAACAAGTTACAAGTAATCATATTATTTTTACATATTACTAATTGATATTACTTTTCTTATATAAAGAGATTATTATAATATTACCATTTTATAAAAATTAAACACGTATACTATATAATTTTATTAAATTGCAAAAATGCAAAATCTGCAAAATGTAATTATTTACTTTATTTTTTTTCAACATATATAATGGAACATTTTATAAATTTTATTTTAACTTAGACAAATTAATTGTATATTAGTAGTAAATTGTTTTCAAGTTATATGATGGAATGCAAATTTATTCCAACATAAAGGTATTCATCAAATTTATTATAAAAGGTCAAACTTGGTCATTTATATTTCATTCCAACAAGTAATTTTTTAATTCATATAATTATATATATTTGTATACTCTAGGTGGCGTAAATTATTTTTATTTGTATAAATAATATCTTATTTTAGATAAATAAAAAATTATAAATACATATTTGCGCTCTATATATATTTTTTTGTTGTTTATATAATACACCGTAAAAACCTTAAAATATATTATTCTTTTAAATCATTTTTTTTTACATTTTGCACCCTCAGGAAAACACAAAACCTAAAAGCTAAAAAAAAAATTAATTCCTAGAAAAAATAGAAAAGAGGTTTATATTTTACCCACCGGTTAACCAAAAACCCAAATAAGGCGTTAAAAAGGGGTTGCCCTAAAAAATTAATTTTTTTATAGTTGCTTATAAATATAGAATCAAGAGTTCGTTTTTCTCGGTTTAAACCAAATCATAGCGGTGTTTGATTCGGATTTTTTGGATGGTTTTACATTTGGTTCGGCTTGGACCGCTATAAAATGTATATATTATTTATTTTTTTTCTCATAAATTATCCAAATAAGTATATAATGAATATATTGAAGATTGATCCCATCAATGGACCTGTCTAACAGAGTAACACATTCAAAAAACTTCCTTAGATTTTGTATTGTGAATAGTTAAAATTCAATTACTATACATCATATTCTATCAGGTTAAATAAAATATACCTTCTACATTTAGTAAAATCTTGAATATTAATCCGTTATAACGTTTATGAAATATTTTTATTTGACAATTTTTGTTTATCTAATATCAATTCAATTTAAATAACCTCCGGTTTTTACAATTTATAAAAATGAGCATTAAATATAGTTTTGATTAAAGTAGCAATATGTGAATAAATACCCATTTTTCCCCTCAGATATTATATTTAAAACTCAAATTCCAAAATTTTTTCAATCGAGATCTGACACCAAAAAATTACTTAGTAGGGTTCTAACCATGGCTTAAAAATTGAACATCTATTGGAGAAAATTTCCAAATCTTATCTAAGATAAAATAATTTACTGATTGTGTTATTTTATCATTTTTTACTATTCCTATATTTACAAATAAATGTAACTTTTTCTGATATTTTGCTTTACATAAGTTATTAAAACCAAAGGAAAGATAAAATGACAAATCACGCAAAATGGCATAAGAAACATGAGGCAGTATCAGCGAAAAACACGCAAAATGATAAATGACCTAAAATTTTATCACATTACAAAAATATTCTTTCCTCAACTTCACTTGATTCCAGTGGGAGCGCCTGTTTGCGCTGCACGATTTTTTAATCTAAAAAAATGACAAGAGAATACAATTGGTTGCTGAAATAAATCCTAATGTTAAAAAAATTATCAATTAGGATATTACATGCATAATTTATACCTAGGGCATCGGCATGGTCTCCATAACGTTGTAAAAATGTTTATGGTATCAAAGTTTCTAAGACTGTGCCTTAGCTTATTTTATCTCAACTTCTTTTTTAGAATTCTAAATAGCTGTCTGAATAGAATGTTATTAATAATAATACACCGCATCTTTAGGTGCTATCATCACCTTATGAAAAAGGTATCCTTAGATAACAAAAATTAAAAAGCGCTAAGAAACGCAGCCTAAAAAAACATCAATTTTATTTTAATAAAGAAAATTAAGGGAAAACGTATAAATATTAGTTTAGATTTGGAGCATCTGTTTCGAATGTTATGCGTCCTGCAGATTGGGTCGGTAAATTTATTTTCAGGTGGATACAGGTCTGCAAATTCCTAAGCCTTCCTACTTTAAAAAAAAAGGAAGTCACTATATACTCTATGTTTTGATCACATATGTTTTTGCTCCTATACACTCAATCCAACAATCATCCCAAACAAACATGACTAACTCAAATTAAACAAGTAAATTGTGCACTACAAATTCTGATAGTTAGGGTATTTTTAAAGTTAGCGGCTATGTGTTATTCTTTCAACTATAAATGGTTTTTTGAATGCGTATTTTTAAATTTAAAAAACTACTTAATGTTTTCCAGCATGTTAAAAATATGTATCTTATGAATTGTAGAAAATTTTACCGTTACCTTTCGAGTCATTTATAATTTATTTGAAAAATCTAGGTAAAAACTACTATAAATTATATTAAGTTTCAAAAGTTCGTAAGGAAATTTTCTGAAATTCATAGGGCAGGTATGGAATAACATTTCCGATAGCGCTCAAAAAATGATTTAAAGTTGAAAAGGTAATATATGCCCAGAAAAAAAACATATTGCCGCTAACATATGCATATGTATATATAATATAATTTTTTAACCAAATCAATTTAAAAAATTTATAAAATATAGATTAAATATTTTAAAAAAAAATTGACATGTGTGACAATAAAATGAATATTTAATAATTTAGATATTTAATAAAAAAATTTACGTATTTATATAAAAATAAAAATTCCATTCTTTTTTGATCGTTTTTTCTACTTGTATCATTTTATTACAAGTGGATAAAAAAAAGAAGTAAAATATTCTGGAAAAAAAAATAATAATAAGAGAAATATTAATTTGTTAAGGGGTGATAAAAGTGAGGAAGTTGGTTTAGGTTATTACAGATTATTTCGATATCCCCAATAAAAATTAAAAAAATAATTTTAATGTAAATAATATCATTTGTTTAAGAATTACAAAAATTATTTGAATAAATTTTATAAATTACAGATCTTCCTTTGGCGATTAAAAAAAAACATATGATCGAAAAGCGAAAATTTTGGTCTGGACAAGCACGATAATATATTATATTAAAAATAAATAGGGAGAATTTATAATTTATTTTCTTTGTGTTCGGCGATTAATAGGAAGAAAAAAATAATTATTTTATCGAAGGACGGGAGGAGCGAAAAAATTATTTGATTGATTGACGTTTTTATTTAACAAAATTTTAGAATTATCTTAAAAAAAATGATGTTGTAAATAGAAATATGATGATTCGTTAATAGTGTCCTGACTGATTTTGCGTGTACAAACAAATCCCAGTTTACACAGTGCAAATCTTATGATAGAAGGATATACGAAATTTATTGTTTGAGATGTTTGGGAAGGGTGGAAGATTTGAGTTGCTGAGTGGGATCAGATAAATGGTGGTCGTGATTGGTGGTGGTCGAATGACTTCGGTTATCTTGGCCCACAACTTGGTCGGGAAGAGCCGGGAGTGGTCTCCCTACATTATTACCGTTGGGGTGTTGTTTATTGCTGGCAGAGGGGCCGTTAGCGTGAGAGCAAGAGGAAGGGAAATGAAAAAATTTGGTTTCCACGGCGTTCCCTTCCCCGTTTTCGGCACTTTTAAAGTGATTGGCTTCCACGGCGGCGTTAGAGGGTACGCGGTTTATAGAAGGCAGACCTTGGCCCGATAGGCTTATTCCGCTAAAAGAAGATTTGTTCGAGAGTCTTTTATTATACAGGTTAACATAATAACAAAAAAATGTATATATAAACGCAAATGGTATAAAAATTCCGGGTGTCAGGAGTTCTTAATCTGACGCAAACGCGGCTCCTTCATTGAACATATCAGGGGGTTAGAGACCTACCAGCAGGCCAATAAACCCGGCTTATCTAGTCTGCGAGCTATGAAACATCCCCAATAAAATATAGACTCTTCTGCCTTTTACCGTTTAATTTTAAACAATTTGCCGGCCCCCCTATATCACGATAATCACAAAGAAAATGTTTAATATCCCATTCTAAATATAAATCGTCTTATAAAACAACTCCTAAAAAGTTTTTATAAAATGAATAAACTACCCTCTTTTACAAACCATTTTCATAAAATGTAATTTCATTCTTTTAGATATTTACAAAAAAATAATCGAAGTATAACCTGGGATTAAAGGTAGGATTTCGGATAAGCATGGATCTTTTGCGAATCATTTTATATAAGTGGTTGATCCAAACCTTTTGTTTGTCCGAACTTTCCGCTATGAGAATAAGCTCTTTAGCCGAGTGATTGTTAAGGCTAACTTTTTTTTAAAGAGGTAGTGAGATATGAGTGTATTTAATTCATAAAAAGGATTCTTTCAAAGAGTTCCTAACATTCTCAACTATTATTAAATATTTCTAACACTTTAGACTTTCAGCAAACCACTTATTGCATCACCAAAGTTTAACCATTTTTTAAAATATTAAAATCGACAAACTTTTGCAAGGGGGGACAGTTTCCTCAAGCAAGGAATTTCCGCCTATCAAGTGTTCCTTGTGCACTTTGAGGTGACAGCTCTTGCACTCCAGGGCGGGAGGAGGTTTGAAGACATTCCATAAAGGTTTCAAGCAATGATCGCAAGTGCAGGGCATGTGGAAAAACACGGGTTGGAACTGATGCCCCTTGTGGAGCAAAAGGTCCCCACCACTATAAGTGGTGTTTCCTTGAGATGCGGAATCTATGGGATTGAATGAAGCGGTTAAGGATGGATTGCGTGTGGCAGGATGGGCAATTTCAGCCTCGGAAGCGTATAGGATTTGGAAAATGCGGGGAACTTCCTTGCTGTCGGCTCGCATCACGTCGGTCTGAGTGACCGAACGGACGTGGTAAACCTTTTTATTTTATAAAAGATATAAGAAAATTAATAAAAATAAAAAAAATATTTTATTTTAAAACAATTGTCAAATAAAATTGGCTCCATTAATAACAAAAGAAGGAGGTTTGAAAGCAAATTACATGTATTTATCTAATTGGGATCGGTCAATATTGTATTTAAACAATCAACCAAATATATTTTGGTAATTGGTATTGACGCAAAACCGCTTCTTAAAAACGGCTAACTCAATATTTCAGAGAAATAATGCCTAAACCTCGAGATTTCGCTAAATGTCCAAACCTTAGTGCCATCTATAAGCATAATCTTCAGGCTTGCCTAATATTTTTCTGGATAAAATACTGAGTTAGCCATCGTTAAAAATCGACTCAAGTGGAGCGATTTTGAGCTGTAGAACCAATACCAATATTTAATTTTATATTGGTGTTGGTCCCACCTTACGTGGTTCTAGGTGAAAAGATGAGGCGTCAGCTGGAAAGATGATTCATTATCCGAGTCTAAAAGATGTTTGGCGCTTCGCGGAAATGATTTAAAAGAAAGTTGCCCAATGAGGGCTAAAAAAAATTACGAAAAAATAAATCTCTCTCCCTAGAAATATCGAGCGTGACTCGTATTCAGAAAGTGGGTAGGACTCAAAATGAAAAACTACTTTGTTAAGATTTAGCACAAAGAGGGGTCTGGCATCGCGTTGGATCTCCTCGCTGCTCCTGTGTTCGTAGAAGAATAGTTTTCCTTCGTTAGCAACAACGTATCGCATGAGCCAGTATCCCTGTTTCCTAACGTTTTTGTGTTTATTGGGCATGCCTAACCAGCCTTCCAGCCATTCGTCGTCTGTAGTGGATATAATATTTTCGCTAACAATCGGTTCTGAAGCATTTATGCAATTTAAAAATAAAAAAGATCAACGAATTTATTCAATCAATTACAACCCTCCCCTCTACCCCATTTTCGATGAAATGTTCGAGACACATTAAATAACAGAGGTGCATGGCTGACAGCGTTTTTTTTAAAACAATTTTGATTTATTTCGCGTTCCCATCTTTCCTTATTGGTTGGGATGACTGATAATAAGTTTTGATACGATATAATTTATTTATTTTAGCCGCAAAAATTATTTTGTTTTTAAAGTCAATTAAATTATTCAAAATCATTAGGTGTATAAAAATAAACCACGTGTGAATGTATCTATTTAATTTTATTTTTTAAAAAAATCATTAATTTATTTCAAATTTTTGATAAAACATAAAGCAATACAAAAAAAATTAATTAAACAAATTAGGCAACTGGGAATCATAAATTATATAAATCTTTGGGCTAAGCTGGATTTTCATTTTATTTAAACTTTGAATCAACATGCGCTTAATAAAAAAAATAAAAATTGTATGGCACCAATAGTTCGCCTCGGGATGGCCATAAAAAGGAGTGCATCTTTATTATAATATTATAACGCTAAGCAAATTCGTTGAATCGAAAACATAATTAATTTACCCCTGGAACCTGCAACGCCATTAACAATCTGCATATTACCGCCATCTATTTCGGTGCTACGCCCGTTAAAACTACCGTTCGAACTTCCGGTTCCGCTACCCGAACTGGAATTAGTGACGCCTCCTCCATTATTGGTAACAGGGACACTAGATATGGTGTGATCTATGTAGTTGGATACTATAGAACTACGATTCATAATATTTATGGTAGTGTTGTGATTGAGATGATGAGAGTTTGGGGTATAACTCTTGGGGGTTAATCTGCTGGCTACGTGTATAAACAAAACAAAAATGGTCAGATTTTTTAAAAAATTAAATCATTCATTTCGTGTTTGCTACCATATATTTAAAGGGTGTAAAACTTATTTTTCTATAAACTCTAATCTCCGCCTCTTAGTGGATAGACTTATGATGCACTAAAACGAAAATAGCAAATAGTATATTAAAATAATAAGAAAGATGGGGGGGGGGAGGTAATTTCGATCGGTTGGTATATAATAGTCATTGATGAACATTGGCCTCTGTAATTATCGCAAATAACTGGCTTATTTATTAGTGAGCAATCGATTTTTTTAAGATATAGTCCAGGGCTGAGAACATGAACCCTCTTTTTTAAATTTAGGGTTCAGTGTTCAAGAATTGTCTTTTTTATTAAAATCATTTTGCGTGGAATCATATTTTATTTTTATCGCCACATTTTGTAAATGTTTTTTATCAGTTATATATTTTAAGAAAATCTATCGTTTTTTTTTGAAGTATTTTTTTCAAATACATTTTTTTATTTAACAAAAAAGTATAATTAAATTTAAGCTGTAATTGTAACTACACAAAAGTAGGTTAAATCTAAAAAATAAATTAGAAATATAGCATAGGAGAAGAAAATAAGGAAGAAGAGTACCCCAAGTTTATAAAACCTCATTGTAAAGAAAACTGTCGTTGAAATTTATTTAGTTAGCTTTAAGGGTAGCTATGGCCAGCCCATGTTTTAAGAAGAAGCCAACTCTATGATGGACAGTAAGCTTCCAGATGTGAGGTCCCTAGATATTTGAGAAACGATGGATAAGGCAAGTTTACTGAAGGAAGTTAAGAAAGGTAGTGGATATAATCGAAATGAAAAGGAGGAAGGAATAGAACAAAATAACAAGGTAAAATAGTTTTATTAAATGCAAGTTGCAAATGCACTATTAAAGTTAAGCATAAAAATAAGTTTGGAAAATATCATAATAATTCGCTTATATAAAATTTAAAAAAATGGGATTTTAATAAATTTCTATAAGTCTTTATGCCCTGATATGACGGGGAGAAAAACTATTGTAGTTAAAGTTGGTAATTAAATTGAGCAATCTACCAGATACTGAAAACTCAAAATGACGAATAACAGGAGAGGCTAAATGTGGGGAGGGGGGGGGCGAAGGTTATCTAACCCAATTTATCATTGTTGGAGGCGGACAGGTTGATATTGCTGCTGTTCTTGATTGACAGCACGTGTTTTCTGAGGGCCTCTATTTCGGCGTCCTTAGAATCGAGTTCCAGCTGAAATTTGAGTCGAGAAGAGCTTTCCTCGTAGAGGTTAGCTTGGCACTCGGAAAGGTCCTTGCTATACTTTTCAACCATCTTGTTGTACTTTGATTTTTCCTAGTGTAATGATAAACGAAAATACCGAAATCGTAATGAGATAAATCTATACAAAAATTAGAGTATCATTATTGATAAGATGTGTGGATAAATTATAAATCAAATAAATCTTGGGCATGTAGTCTAAATCAAAAATTTAAGCAAAAAAAAATGATACAATGAAATCCCTTTAAAAGTAATATACTCCAATAACTTACAAGGAAGAGAAATAGAAAATAAACGAACCTGCGTTAAATCCTGTTGCAACTTCCGACATTCCTTATCCTTCTTCCGCAGATCTTCCATGGCTAAGGCAGCCTTTTTGTTGTTATTGTTGCTACTATTACTATTGACCCTATTAATGACGAAAAGCAAGATTAAAATTTTATTTTAAGACAAGGATATTTATATATTTTGGTAGCCCTATTAATATGGAATGGCAATCATTAGTCGTTAAAATAATATAATTAAAAATATGTCTTAATAATTATAATTTAAAAAAAATGGCATACTAGGATATAGCATAGCCATAAATAATTATAATTTTAGTTATGAGAAGTCCTCGTAAAACTTAAATTTTAAAATTGTTTATAATTGGATGCAAATTATTTTTGTTGGCTGACATCAATAAACATAATATCTAAAAGGTTGTCTTTGCTTACATATATAAAGCGCATCAAGGTTTCCAACTTAATTTCATCAAATGAATGAATATGAAGTTCCTATACACTTACAACTTATCCTACATTCACAGTTAGCTCGAATTTGAGGCGAAGCATATAAAAATACACAAAATAAAAGCATACTTTGTATACATAACTGTGAATTCAAGTCACACTAACTGTGGTCACACTAACTGTGAATGAGGAGTTTGCAGTGGAGAATACAAAAATACCTTAATTTGGTATAATTTGTAGTGAATGAGGAGTTTGCAGTGGAGAATACAAAAATACCTAAATTTGGTATAATTTGCAGCGAATTCATGCTTAACTACGATGAGGTCACACGGATTCAATAACCCATATGTCATAATTACAAAGCAAAAAAACAGTCGTAAATAACTTATTATTAAACATTTATTAAAGGTTGTTCAAATATGGTAATTTAGGTGAAATTTTTTATGTGAAGCCTTACAGTTTTTTCTTGATATCTTTGCGATTCATGACCTCGTGGAGCTTGTTGACGGCCTGCATCTTGAGCAGCTTTTCCTGCCTCAGCTGTTTTCCAATCTGTTCGAGAAGATCCCTGGGTGTAGCAGAGGGGTGGGGCACACACCCACCAGTTATTTCTTTCACGAGGGCCATAAGCTTGGCTTGTATTTCATTCTTGTCTTTGGAGAGCAAAACGAGCTGAGAATTTTCGGCGTTTTCTCGTTCGGTTGTATGTGGTGATTGAGATGATGGCGGGATTTCCGACCCGTTGGTAGCGTCGGTAGACACTCGAGACAAAGGGGAACCGAGCTTTTTTTTAGTACAAAATGATAAATGCCGTTTTTATTAAAGATTAGTGGTAGGCTTATTATCAATACACTTCGTGAAATGGGTAATTGTTGTATTTAGAAACTTAATTAATATAATAAATATATTTTACATCAAAAAAATAATAAGAAAGTTATATTGATAATATTAAATTAAATATTTTTCATTACTTATTTTTTATTATCTCTAAAATAAGATTTACGCATTAGATAATATCTAGACTCATTTTTTTAAAGCAATCATAAATTGCTTTTAGATGTTGAGTAGTAGATTAGATCTCTCCAATCTATTTCCTTTAAAATAGGAAATGTTTTTAAAGGAATGTTAGCAACCGATCCATAAAAACATCTGGTAAGAAGTCCTTGCCATATATGCCAGATACAACTACGAAACATAGGGTAACACCTTAGATAAACTCAATTTCTCGGTATAGGTTAAAAGTTGTCATTAATCAATTTAGGATCCCTCCCTACTAAAGGTACAAAAAAAAGTCAAATAATACAATTTCTTTAAGTTTTTTATAGCATATAAAGATGGTGGTTTGGACTAGCGAACATATCACTTATTCAATTATCATTTTAAGGGATGAAAAATAATGCACGAGTGTCTCGATATTTTGTGAATGAAAATTCGTATAAAAAATATGAGCAACAGCAATATAAAAAAAATATTTTACCTCTAATGCAGCCAGCTTTTGTTTCACCAAAGCATGCGTTTGAGTCTTGTAACATTCCAACCTTTCGGAAAGGGCCATCTTTTCGCCAACCGCCTCCTCGTACTTGCACTCCAGGTCTTTCCGAAATTTTTCCTTCTCCTCAACCTCGTCTTGAAACTCCTTGGCCTATAAAAAAATTGTTTTTGGCATAGATGGTAGTGATAGCGGTAATCATTTTATTCGTTATAATTATTCCAATAACAAGGGGAGGGGGGGGGATGAAATCTACTAATTGTCAACGCAACATAGTAAAGTAAACAATTACCTGTTTTTTGTATAGAGCTGCAAAGTATTGCTCAGCTTCGAGCTGCTCGGTCAAATCCTTGATTTTTAGCTCGTTCATGGAACGACCATTCTTGAGTCTCTGAGAAAATTCTTCCAGTTTCGTCTTTTGCTCTTTCAACGTTGTCAATTCCTTTTTTTTGGCAAAATATGGGAAAGTTTTAAAAATTAAGATTTTTTTTGAATAATTTGAAACAAAAAAAATATATTTGAAGTCCAATAAAGGCATAGGTTGTTAAGAGACATTTTACAGATGTACCTAGATACGGATACGTTGTCTAAAATGTATTTAGATACAAATACAATCGAGATTCAATATACATTTATTCTTTTTTTTTTCTCTCTTTAAATTTTCTGGCATTTGAAGCCAGTTAAAATCAAGTTTGAAAATTTTGCTGATGCTATGTTTGTTTCAGTTATCACAAATATTATAATCTAAAAACTCTTAATGTTTAAAAATATTTGATGCAAAGTAAAGCTTGTCTAGAATTGGACAGAAATACAGGAAGCTATTTAATTCAAAAATAGGATTAAATTTAAAAAATATATAAATATATTAAGATACACCTAAAAATATATCTGTTAACATTTTGTATCTCGATACTTTAATAATTATGAAAGGTATAGATATTTTAAATCGATCATTAAAAAAAATGGAATAGGCAATAAAAAAAAGGTTGAATTAATCAACCTGGCTAAGCTGCGTCTCCTTTCTCTTGAGCGAATTAAATCTCTTGCACTGACCAGCCAGGTCGTTTTGTATGAGGGTACGTCGTTGCAGCTCTTGTTCCTTGCCCAAGGCTAGGTGACTGCACCGTTCCCTTTCTCGAGATATTTCGACGCTCAAACGTTGGTTTTCGAGCTGGGCGGAGGCGATAAGGGCCTCCATTTCGCGGTGACGTTCTTGTTCTAACCTGAGCTTTTCGGCTAGGTCTGAGCGAATTAATTATTTGTAATTTTAATTGATAGTCAGTCAGTCAGTTTAAATGCATATATTTAGCGAAATTGTAAGAAAGGAAATCGGGTTAGGGATTGTAAACCAAAGATGTTAAATTGAAGTTTAAACCTCCTTTTAAAAAAAAATATAATGAATTTTTCTAAAATTAATATCGAGCTTCAAAAACCGATTACAATTACCTCTAACACGAATTTCTTCCGTCCCTTCGTTTCCGGCGTCCCCGCCTCCTTGCTGAAAGCTTCTAAGTTTTCCGTTAAACATTTCTTCGATATTTCCAGAATTTTCGAAGTTTGGCACATTTTCAGTATTCCTAGACACGCGTAACGCCTCGAGATCTCGAACGGAAGCCTCTAATTCGCGTTGCAAGCGTTCTGAACGTTCTCTCGAATCCGCCAAATCCCCTTGGAGTGTAGAAATGGCGACTAAAAAAATAAATAGGAAAAATGTTGCCATAATAAAGGTGACAAATAATGGATAAATAGCGTGACATTGGAATTATTCTCCCAATAAATCGTTTAAATGAAATCACAATATTCTCAATATCATTATAGCGACGAATACTCTTTTATACCTAAAAGTTCTAGGAATCCCACCTATGCTAATAATGTCTCATTTTCCTTCATCTAACGCACAACCGTTTTTATAATACAATAAAATTTAAAAATGGCGGCAAACTTTCATTTTTCTCGATCTTCTGCATCAGCTGGCTCTTGGCCGTTGCCTCATTTTCCACAGAGAGCTTCAGACTTTTGTTGTTGAGAGTGAGGGATTTGTATTCCTCCTGGAGTTCTGAGTACTTGTCAGCCATTTCCTCGTAATTTTCTCTCAGTTGAGCGTATTGCTTTAAAAAAATATACATATGAATTTAATATTTGGCAAAAAGAAATTAATTTGCCAATATTCAAACTATAATGAATCACAAATTTGGAATTTAGAGGTGGGTTCAAATCATAGAAATTTATCGCTTAGAAATAACAGGACGCTATCTGGCAGTTAGACTTGTTTTAAGGTACACCTTGATTTCTTGAGTATCACGGAAGAAAGGCAGAATAATTTTTTCTATTAATCACCAAAAATTAGGACTAACAAAGGGAAATGTATATATTCTCTTGAGAGATTTTTCTTTAAAAAAAATCTTCAGTATATTTAACCCTAATCCCACCCCCCGAGTCAAAAACAGTATCATAACAGCAAACTCTATTTATTGTTGTTTAAAAAACCCCGATTTGGGACAATTTTTAAAAACGGCTCAAATTAAGATTTTTATCAAACAAGTATTAAGCAAACCGCAATATTTGGCAGAGGTCAAGATCTTTCTTCCACCTCTGAGCACAATCTCTAAGCTTATCATAATATTATTTTGGGGAAAATCTTTGATCAGATCGTTTTTATAAATGAACCCAAATAGGACTTTCTAACAACACTAACTAAATTCGAAATCTTTTAGCATCACATGACCTTAAAAATTAATTAACTATATTAGTTATATTATGATCCTATTATGAATCAAAATTTTTTTGATTTCAAAAAAAAATGAAACAAAAATATTTTAATATGAAATTATTATATTTTATCAATGTATTATAGTTTATTAAAATATGTTTTTTAAAAAAAAAAATTAAAACTTAAATAAATTAGTAGTTTAAAACTGAAAGAGATAATACCTAAATCTAGACTGAAAATTCATTCGATAAAAATGGGTCGTGGAGTACAAATCAGCTGGTGGTGTACGCTATTTTGATTTATCCGTTATAAGAATTTTCTAAAATAAATGTCATTTACGTAGGGAAACCGAAGTGGCGTGTCACTAGCTGATCTGCATTCGATACACATTTAAATGAACGAATATGGTCAGTCTATTGTAGTTACAATATGTCGTTAGAGTTACCAGAGTTAATTCTTGCAGAGCGGATCGACTCTTGCTTTCTTTCTCTCTCGAAACTTCCAACTGTTGCGTCAGCTCGAAAATCTAAATTAATTTTAATTTTTTTTTAAAATGTCAATCAATATTTAGATAGAAGGGAGCGGGAGGGAATGGTGACATAATTTAATAAAATGTTGAATTGAACATGTTTATTTTAAAAGGGTTAAGAAAGAAGGAAGGATATTTTTCAAATTTGCAATAGGTTTTAGATTTAGAAAGATTTTTTTAACAAGTTTGAAAATCAAGGTTTTGCAGCTTAAATCAAAAAATTTTATCTTTGACGATAAAACATAAAATAAATATTTATATAATATATTTCCTTTTTAAAGAATCATGACACAAGCTTCTGATCAATCTCTTCTAAAAAAAGTGTTACTTATTTTTTATTTAATCTTTAAAGTTTCAGTCCTAAATTATATTAATTTACTGAATATTTTATAATTTAGTTAAACAAGATAAAAAAATGATGTGATTTGTAATTGCAGCAAAGAGAAAAGAGAGTAGAAAAAGAAGAAAAACTTGATTCTCTAGCTTATCCTTGCGGCTCGAGGCGTTGGCATCTACCATCTCCGTTTTGTTACCAGGGGTCGGGGATTGTTTGAGCAACTGCAATTCTTTACTTTTCATCTCGTACATGGACTCAAGATCTACCCGATTCTGACTCTCTGACAATAATCTTCCGACACAAATAAAAAGAGAAAATTTTTATATAAATAACAGAATTCGTGCATAGATTTTTAAATTGGGGTAAAACAAAAAAATGATGTTCTTAATATTTTTCTTCCTCTCCCAGCTACTTTATTTATAAAATTTTTAGAAGGAATTTTGAACTGTCAGAAATGATGAATGGATTTGTCGAATTTTGGAAATAAATACTTGAAAATAAATTTTTTTAAAAAACAAGCAAACTAATATATCATATCTAATATTCAGTGCCTGATTCTTTAAACATATTTTTTTTATTAGTTAGAACTAGGCTTAATTTTATTTTGTATATTTTAATGATTGCTGCCAATCATTTTCGTTCAAAGAATTCAAAAGTCTTAAAATGTTTGATGCCCAAAAAGATAAGGCAAACTTAGTGCGCGTCTCCTCCAACTCATCTTTGAGACGGGAAAGCTCCTCCTTCAGTCTGGATAGTTCCTGTACATCAATTTCATTTTCGGCATGGTGAGCGATACCATTAGTAATCGCCAATGGTGGCTAAAAAGATAAAATATGTGAATGACCATTTTTATTTCATCCTAACAACGTGAATGACATTAGAAGGTTGATATACATCTTTCTTTACCCTTTATTTACTATTTTAATGGGCACCTTTCCCGGAAGTTCCTTCCTTTATTTTCTCCTTATCTCCTAAGTTAAATCTGTTTGTTCCTACCAAAATAAATTTATCCTTTTTTTTCCTATTAAAAACCTCGTTATTCAAATAGCTGTGATCTGCGGAATAGGTAAATCCAATGAAGGGTAGATGGTTACCCGTAAACGCCTTTTGGACCGGGAAACTTTCTGCCAACCTAACCGACTTGGGTTCGATCTCTTCGAAATTACTCGTATCGCACTCTCCGTTCAATTCAGGGACAACTGGCGGTATATCTTGATGTCAAATGAAAAAAATGAGTAATTAGCTTTACGTAAATAGTGCAAAATGGGCGAAAGATTAAAGAATTATAAAATAAAGTAAGAAAATTAAGAAGGTTCAGATAAATAACATATTTTTTCGCTATAATAATAAAGTTTTCTTTACGATTTCGAATGTCGTCAAAGTTCCACTCCCGTCCCTCGAAAAATGGGTGCAGTTTGAGGGCCGAGATGCCGCCCATGGCCTCTGACCCTAGACGACCGTCTTTATGGCACAGGAAACCCCTCATAAGAGATTCAGCCTGGGGAGTCAGCTCCAATTCGGGAGGAAAGGCGAGGGAAGATTCGTGGTTCATTATCTTGCCGTATGTGCCCACTAGGGAGTCGCTGTAAAAGGGCGTCTCGCCTTTAAGTTGTGTAATGTTTAATTTTTGATGAAATTTAAACTTCTTTGTTCCTAGTTCCTCAAAAATAAGAACTAAATTTTAAACCAGAGTGTGTTTAAACCTGAATTCGGCTTCGAGGAGAGGGGAGAGGGTTAAACTCTTTTCAGCGAAAATTTCGATGGCTTAAACTTAGTCGGGATCGATTTTCTGGGGGTAGGGGTGGGGGATCCTCTTGGATTGTTCATAAATTGACCCCAGCTTAGCTTGTGTTCTCAAAAATCTCCAACCCTCAAACAACTTAAAATATTTGAATTCCCATCCCCTTTCATTCCTTTCCCGAAATTTAATAAACTATATTTTAAAAAAATGCTATTACTGACCGACGAGCATCTCGTAAAGCACGACGCCCACGGACCACCAATCGCACTCGCGTCCGTATTTGCCTTCCCCGCTCTGGGATTTGAGCACTTCGGGAGATATATAATCCGGAGTCCCCACGGCCGTTTCGCAATGGCAATATCCATCCTTTTTTTTTAAATTTGCAATATTTTAAAAACTATTACATTATTAACGGTCTTTACTTTATTTGCATTCTTTTCCTGAAAAAATTTCTTATCTTCCATCTTTTTTTTTAATTCTAGACATTAAAAAAAAACAAAATACCTCGTCAATCTTCATACAAGTACCGAAATCGGCTAGCTTCAAATGCCCGTCTTTGTCCAACAACAAGTTATCCGGTTTAACGTCCCTGAAACAAATATAAAACAACCATAAAACATGGAGATTAATGAATTTATCAACATGTATATGTATATAAGTTTTAAAAAATGGCTAAACAGGTGACTCATTACTTCTATTATAAAATTGGCCATATTGGAGAGGGGTCGGGGGTCAATTTGAAATTAATGTATATATCACCCTCTACCTTTCCCCTACCTTAAAATCAAAGTGAAAGGAAGAAGAAAAAAAACCTGTGAACGTATCCCATGGAATGGATGATCTGCAGAGCCAAGATGACTTCAGCCGCGTAAAACGCGGCCCACTTGTCGGGTATGTCGTAATTGCTCATCAGGTTAACCAAATCTCCGCCAGGCATGTAGTCCATGATCATGTACAAGTACTTGGCGTCTTGGAACGCGAAATGTAGCTTGACGATCCAAGGGCTCGATGCTCGGGCCATTATGTCCCGTTCTTCCCAGAAAAAGGCCGAATCAGAGCGTTTCATCTTCGAGTGATGAAGTAAAGTGTTTTAAGGCAGAAAATAATTGTTTTATGTGGAGTAATATACCATATTATGATTTATAGGAACCGGAATTCGTTTTAAAATTTCCGGGGAACCGTTTCTAATATTGGGTACGAGTAATTCAGTATATGCATACGTTACGTTACGCGTGAAATTTGATAATCGGGACCGGACATCCTAGACACGCGTTCGGGTTTAGGGACCGGAAACAACCCGCTTTTCAATAATTTTAGGAGCCAAACATCTAGAATCCGCCTTCAAATTTATGAACAGGAAATAGAATCTCCACTCTCAAATTTTAGAAAATCGGAACGGGAAAGCTTCACAAATTCATTTTTTTTTCTTCTTCTATCTTTTAGGCCTTTTTGACTGATCGATCATAATTTTAGCCAAATATTATATAATCCCCGAGATTTGGCAAATAGAGGTGCCCAAACCTTTCTGCCATCTATGAGACAAATAGCTAACATAATATTATATTTGGCTGAAATCTTGATCGGGCCGGGCCGTTTTTAAAAATCGACCCAAAATAGGAGGTTCAACAACACTAGACTGTCAACTCATATCATAACCGGAAGTCTTTTTTTAGTCCAGGTTCGAACTTCCTAATCACGATACCCAATATGACATTAATATTAAACCGAGAGGTATCGATACGATTTTTTAGGCCGATACCGATCCACAAACCGATACATTAACACGGGTCTATACGATACCATCGACATTACCGGATTTTGCTGAACACCGATATCGGTACGGTTTGATCCGATACTACCAAAATTCGATGTCAAACCAGACATGAAGACAGTGTCGGCCAATACTACCGATATTAAAATAGGTTTGGCCCTTATCACCAATTATCAACGTCGAACTTGACATCAACACGGACCAAAGCTATCCTTTCGGTCTGTATCATTCGTACATTCCGATCTGCTATTAATAAAAAAATAAAATCAAGAATGTACGAGACAGCACAAGGAGTTCAGGGTTAAAACAAAAATAAATAAATAATTAATTTGGTAAAAAAAAATTTTTTAAAATACTAGTATGAAATTTATCGCCAAAAAAAAAAGAGAAACGAAAACAAAGGGAAATGCCGATAAATTTCCAGAAAAAAAGAATAATTATCTTTAATATAAAATATATTTTAAAAAAATGTTAATTATGTTAAAACACACAAAAAGGGAAATTTAAAAAGAAATATAGATTTCAAGTTCAAAATTCCCAATTTTTATAATCAATCAATTACATTCTTCATTTGGACGATAAGAAAGAAAGAAATATTTTAAGAGATACGTACCCATAATTAGCTCTTTAAAAATAAAATTATTTAAACCATTCAATTGATTAGAAAAGAATAACCTGAGACTAATTTTTAAACGACAATTATTCATTCTTATCGAGTAATGGAATTAAAACTCCATTTAAAAAAAAAAGAATGGGAAAAAAAAAATTAAAAATAAAAGAATAAAAATAAAATAGAAAATAAAATGATAAAGAGAAGAGAAGAGAGAGATTAAGGGCTTTGTTAGAATTGTCCTCTAAAAACGTAGCATTTTATAATATAACACAAAATCGTAAAAACATATACGTGCAAATGTTTGTGAGCTTTTAAAATATTTTTCTAATCTTATATTTCATATTTAATTATGTGAAAATATTCAAAAGTCGATAAATTAATAAATAATTATAACTTGATTTTTTTAAAGTATTCGAAAAAAAAAAAAATTTTTTTTTTAAACATATGTTATGTTTAAAATTCAATACATGGTTCTAGCCCCGATTCGAGGTTGAAAAAGTCGATATTGGCCCATCATGGATTAAAAAGTAAAAAAAATTCTTAGAGGACAACCTCTCAAATCTGGGGCGAATAATTTTCGAAATTCCTGAGACAAAATAATTTTAAATATCGTACCCCGAGCCAGTATACTGGATATATGTGGAAATAACTGAAGATTAGAACCTGGAATAAAAGTAGCATTAGAGTTCTTGAATATTTTTCTAAATATGGGATTCTGGTTAAGTTTCTGGAAATATATGACTCGCCCTATTGCTGGAGCCCTTCCTTTTACAACATAAACATCTTCTTGAGTCCCAACAATCTGCTGCAGTGCAGGTGGTTAAGAGGCGCCCGATAATACTAATATTAAAGATTCTTCGATTTCTGAATATCCAAAATGTCCTTCCCTATTTTAAGCATCTACTAAAATATTAAAATCCTATATTCATTTAATTTTTATTTAAAAATATTTTGGAAATTTGAGAAAAGGTAATTGTGGTTATCACCTGTCTCAAAATTATCTTCCATGTTTATCTCTTTTGGCTGCATATTATTTTATCATATTTAATAAATAACTTGATATAAATTAGATTTATAAAGATATTTTTGAAATATAAAATTCAAATTTAAGATTATAATTTATAAATAAATTTTAGCATTTATTTTAATAGTATATATTTTATCATTATATAAAAATTATAGACTACTCTCTCTAAAATATAGCGCGCTACCGCTATAGCAAATTTTTTTTTTTAATATCGCAACTGTGCTAATTTTATTCTTTAGGCGATAGCGTATTAGTAACTCCCCACCCCCCTCTTCAATTCCAGTGACTTCTCGAGCTCTACCTCTACTCTCCTTCTTCCCCCCCTCCCCATGGTAGAAGTGGTTATGGAAATAAAAAAATCTTAAAGATGTCCAATATGTAAATTTTAGTGTATATATAATACACTCTATAAACATTATAATATATTTTAAAAAAAAAAACTAGAATAGTAGGTTACCTCCTAGCATAGCGAGCAACTAGAATGTTCAATATTTTTGGCGTAAAAATAATCATAGAGCGGAAGTGGGTTATTTTACAGTATAGCGATCTTAATCGCTTACTAGGATGTAAGCTTATATGAATAGAATATATTTATATATATATATATATATATCAGTCTTACCATCTCGTATTTGCTGAGGAGTTTCATGGCGAAAACCTTGCGCGATGTCCTGTGCCGCACCAGTTTAACTTCGCCAAACGCGCCCCGGCCTATTATCTTGACGGATTCAAAATCTTCGTACTTTAACCGACAATCCTGGATTCTTTTGGCGATCCCGGTGTCTAATTCACGCCAAATATTTTTTTTAAAAATATCAATAACATTTGAGAGACGTGGCTCTTGTCAGCTGTCACTATGACTTAAATGTCGGAAAAGTTCAATGTTGTAAAAAAGGGGGGATATTTTAGACTGGTATATCTGGGTATAGCAACCCCCCTCCCACCACTATCCAGGGATTTTAAAAATTTTCTACTTTAAAGTTGATTTAACTTTAAAGGATTGCATATTTTAGATAGATTTTTATATAGTAAAAATATGATATATAGTATTTCACATTAAATGTCTAAACGATCAAAACTTAATAAAGGAAATTGAGGATGATAACAGTTTTAAAATGGCGGGGTACGGCGGCTACACTCAATATTTTATCCAGAAGAATAGCGAGCAAGCCTAAAGATTTTTCTCACAGATGACACAAAGGTATAGACATCTATTAGCAAAATCTTGAGACTTGGGGAATATTTTCTCTGAATATATTGAGTTAGTCGTTTTGTAAAAATTTGAAATGAAAAGATTTTGCATCACTACTACCATTCAAGGGTTAAATTGGTTCCATAATAAAAAAAAAATAATGGGGTGAAATTGTATATCAATTTTCCCTTACACATAAATTATTGCTATTTTAAAGGGTATCATTTAAAACATAGAAAAAATAAATTTTCTTTTACATCTATTCAAGAAATGCTCGATGCTTTTGTTCCTCTGGGATGATGGAAAATCGCAATCAGCAACCAAGGCTGTTATGCCATCCTATTTCGATATACGTTATACATATGTATTATATAATTCGGGAAATTTAAAACAAATGAAAGAATATACTAATTTAATCTGTTAAAATTATAATCCTTTTTATTCATTCTTTCTTCGATTCATTTTTTTTTCCTCTTTGCTTCATTCTTTATATTTATTCATTTATTCCTTTCATTCATCGATTCATTCTCTTAATTTCGTCGTCACGAGAGTAAAATGAAACATATATAAATTTATAAACATACATAGCCAAGTTAGTAAAAAAAAACAGTTTTACATCTATAAATGTATCGAACAAAAACTTGTCGATAGAGCCAATTATTATAAAAAAATAAAAGTGTTTCTCAAACGAAAATAAATATTTTAAAAGGCCAATATCAAATTATAATTAATCCATAAATCATTTCGAAGAGACCTGGCAACAAATATTTTTTTTTACAAATTAGAAATGTAAAACATAAACAAAGGTTTTAAACAAACAAAAAAAAACAAAAAAAAAAAGAATGCACAATAGTTTTTTTTAAAAAAAAATAAAAGAAAATATAAAAGAACGGAGAAAAGTTTCAAAAAAAAAATATTTAAATGATTCTTTTTCAACGACGTACCAATAATCCGTCAATGTGAATCCCTGTTTTGGTGTCCAACAAATCCCGTTCTAAGCAACTTAGCCTGGCTAAACGATCGCTGTCCACCGTCATCGGATCGCGTGATGAAAGACAATACTATTCGTTTTTTTTGGTGCGTTTAATTTAAAAAAATAAACGCTGCGAGTGATTGATTAGCTAAATATAAGGGATTTAAAAGCGTATTCTAGCCAACAATAGATCAAAATGGAATCATGGGTATGTTTATTATTGCGTTGCGTTGACGTTTCTTTTTCGTTTAATTTTAAGAATTATGAAAAATTATGGTGAAAAATGGCAGCTTGTAGAGGAAGATTAGATCTTAAGATTTTCCTCGCGTATAGTAATATTTGTTATGGTCAAATTTAGAAACCTCGAGAAAATCGGAATTTATTTTTAAAGGGCAGGGCAAGGAATTTAATTATCACTTAGATATTTAAATCGATTTTGTCCACGAAAAAAAAAATTCGCGGGTAAATGCTTTCGGTAACTCCTAAATACTTGGATGAGGGAATGAGAAAATAATACGGATGTGGGATGGAATATTAAAATGCGCGAACTTCTATCCTCTTTCTACGTGCCGGGAATATTGGCGCCGTTGTGATAAGCTATCGTTCCTTAGGTTATTCTGGGAAAATGTGATATCGTGATATAAATATATATTTTTTTAAAAATTCGATACGGTAATTTTCGGGAAAATAAAAAAATATTTAGGCATACAACAACAAAAAAAAAATCGTTTAAAATAATTAGGTTATTGTTTAAAAAAAAAAATGATGAAGACAAATAAAAAATGCAAAAGTGTCATAATTATTCTGAATATAAAGGAATGGTCAGTAAAACTTGTCATACAAGTTGAGTGTCACTGAAAAAATTTTTTTTTAAAAAAGATGTAATAATTAGGTGATAATTACTGGATTAAATTCCATGTTTTATCTATGTGATAGGAGTAGTATTGTTCAATTTGAGCCGATTTTTTAAAATGGCTAACTTAATATTTTAAGAAAAAAATATTATGTAAGCCTAAAGATTTTGCTCACAGATGGCACATAAGGTTGAACATCTATTGGCGAAATATCGACGCTTAGGCAATATTTTTCTGGCCATAATGTTGAGTTAGTCGCTTAACAACACTAGATAGAAGAGTGCAAAATCCGGTCCGGTCCGTAACCTATTCGGGTGGGGCATAACCACCGGGCCAAACGTGCAAATGGGTATCTTTCATCCAGACCTGTTTAGAGAGTTGTAGGTCTACGAGTCTCTACCTATGTCACGTTGCCCAAATCAAATGTGCCCAATGACCTAAAGGCCATCGTCAAACTTTGATAGCATCTTAAAGTTGGCCACATACTAAAAAAAAATATTTATACCTGAAGCGCTAAACATGGGATTACCTTTGCTTCTATTATTTCTTAAAATAAAAATATTCTTAGGCCGACCCAACCCTATCCGGCCTGAGGCCAAAAGATTTTCGGTCCAGACCGAACAACTTCTATAAAATTAGGTATATATATTATCAACACAAAATGGTTTTACAGATAAATCTTTAAAATTTTATGGTAGATCATCAAGTTTTTCCGCGTGGAATATAAATCTACAATTTGTCACTAAAGATAGCTAGTTTGGTGGTAACACATTAGAAGTAGTTATCTGTTTATATTTAATTTAAGGTGCATTTATTAAAGATTCTAGCTCTTTTATAAAAAAATACGCTAATTTACACGATACGGTATAATATGTCAAGTTTAAAAAAAAATTGTAAACGATGTTTTCGATTCGTCATTTCTTTCTTTCTTTTTCTTTTTTTTTCCTTCTTTGTTTCTCTCTTGTTCATTCCAACCCGTGATTTATGGAATGATCATGAATTTAAAAGTTAATAATTTATAAAATTTATAAATTTTGAAACATACTTCAAAATTAAAGAACCAAAAAAAAAGAGCTTAATTAAGAGAGAATTCGATGTTTATTGGCACTTGCAATCGTAGACCAACACCCCCCCCCCCTCCCCACTTTCCACGATCTAACAGGAAGAGGAACGTTAAGATCCTCCTTCCAACTGAGTCATTTATAATTCTCGTATTTCGATCATGGCTATGAACCAGAATTCGGGTCCAGAAGTTTTTTTTACTCCAAAATCGAAATTTCGATAACCGAAAAACTTATTTACTGGAAGGAGTCCAAACCCTCCCCAGCCTTATAATACCTCTGATTAGTTGGATTTTCCGTAAATAGATCTCTGTATGGTCCGCGTTCTCTCTAAATGTTCGACCAAAACCTCGGTAGAATGAATCGGACGCCACTATTAGCATGGTCGATTGCCGGTTATTTCTGCCCGAAATTGAAGGTTTTGGACAGGACATATGCAGTGCGCTAATATAAAGGGGATTAGAGAAAATGTTTATAGTTTAAACACCTCCACCCTCTTAATATACAAAAAAAATATATATATAAAAACCGTTAATTTAAAAAATAAAACACATCCAAAACATTTTGTACAAAAAGGATATAATAAAAAAATAATAATAAACAGGGTAATAAAAAAAAATAAAAATATTTGAGCAGGATATCTATCTCACTTCATTCCTACGTCTCTAATACTAATAAAAAAAATATACAAAACTCATAACCTTTAAATTACCTATTTTAATATTTTAAGAAAGATTGAGTGTATTATGTGGAGGGGGGGGGTGGTATTATTTTAAATAAATATCATTAAATAACTCTAAATTAGTTTAATTTTATATATTTTTGGGTTCCGAAAAAAAATATTCAAAAAAAAAAAGTAATAAAACGCAAAGAAAAGGGGAAAAGAGAGAGAAAAAAATTTAATAGAATTTTTTATATACACATTACTTTTTTAACGACCCTTTTCCTCTCTTCCTAATTTTATTGCCGTTATGCCAAAAAAAAAGCAATGTGGTTGGTATTTATTTTATTTTAATTCAACTTACCGCACAAATTTCTATAAAAAAAAATATATATTAAAAAAAATTATATTTCTTTCTCCTCTTTCTTCGTTTCTTTCTTTCTATCCCTTGTTCATTTTCTTTTCGACGAATATAATTATGTACTTTAATGGCTAGTTAGTACTAAGAAGGCTTGTATGACAGGCACTCTCTTTTTTTTAAAAAATATATACGATCCGTAGTTAGAAATGTATCGATATTCTTTATCGGATCGAGTCAATTATTCCTCTCTTTTTTAAAAAAAATATCGGTTACCCGTTTTTATAAAAAAGACGTTTTAATTTAAAAAACAAAATTGTAACAATTTAAATTGATCATGACACGAATAAGGCGCAGGCGTATCAAGATTTTACTATGGGGTGGGGGGGGGAACTATTAGGCCAGTTTTCCCGCCATAAATTATATCGGAGGTCTTTAGGTCCACTTATTGTATCCCTTTGGATATATTATACTTTTATAAAAATAATTATGGATTTTCACTTATTTTTTTTTTCTTCTAAAAAATTTTGAATTAATATAGTCGTTATTTTTAAAAATTTATTAACTTTTACTGATTTTTCTTTCAAATTCTTTTTTTTGTTGTCATACATTGTATACATTTTTTGGGAGGGGGGGATGTCTGGAGGGAGAGGGAATTTTTATTAGCTTAAAATGATATTTATACGAGAATAGACAAATTTGCAATCCTCTAGGTTAGACTCCTTTAAATAGACTCTATTGGATAAATAGCACGAAGAAAAACTTACAATGATTTTACTACACAATAAATAAATGATTTTACGAAAATTTGTGAGTCTACAATAATAGGTTAATTTAAAAATTGACAGGTAATATATTTTAAATGACTCATGCTTATGGTATTAATCATAGATGGTGGCAAATATCCGATTTATAATGTCGAGTCGGGTCGACACCCAACTAGCAGAAACCCGATTTCCAGTCGATATTAAAATTCGCTATCCGAATCTTTAAAAATTAACCGGAAGTGGAATCGGAGAGACTTCCTAAAAAAATATTCTAAACTAGAACTAATAAATAAAACTCTTTTAAGTCTTGGTTCCAAATATCATTTTTCTGGTCAGGTCGGATTTAAAATTATTTTTTTTAGTAGGGTATCGGGTTTTCAATTTAAATTGTCTAACAAATTGTCATTGGCTCACTCTAAAATGTGGAAGGGGATAACGAATTTTTTCAAAAAAAGTGTATTTATATAAATTAATCACTATCCCATGACTTTTTAACCTTTTTTGCGATCGGTTTCAAAAAAAGCCACAAATGCCATTTAAAAATTAATCATTTTTGTTTGTTTGTTTATAAAAGATAATTTATACAAGTCATCGAATGCTTTATGAAGGAAAAAAATACCATTAATTTCCTCAGCTACGCATCTTTACCGGATATTTATAAGTGGAGCGAATCTTATGTATTCTCGCTCATTTAGCTAAGATTACGATCTAGAAAATTATGTCCTACAAAATTAGTCCCAATATAAGTTAGTTTCTTAACTCCCCTTCCCCCCGAGAGGTAGCGTCAAAGAATAATAATATGAGCAGTAAGGTAAAGGGAGACGGTGGTATTACTTATATAGTTTTTTCCCGCATTCCTTTTTCCGCCAGATTTGCGTTCTCCGTCAGCTACGCAAAGTCTTACAAAGCGGCGGACCAATTTTTTTTAATTGTAAGGAAGAAATATCGGTGATTGTTTATTATTACCGAAAAAAATAAATTATAAATATTTCGCGTCAACTGATTTTTTTAGGCTGTGTCCAAAACCATTTTTAAAAAAAAAATTCGAAAAGTATTATAACTTTCGCAAATTTTAAAATTTTAAAGAATTTTTTTGGACATAATTTTTTTTTAAATTTTTTATATATTTTAAAATAAGCTTATTTATTTATTTCCATTAAGGTTTATGAAAAATTGTAAGATTTTTTTTTTTGATATTTTGGACACAACCTTAAAAAACTTTTCCTATTCTTTTGAATTCATTTTATAATTGTGATAATAAAATCAGGCGAAAAGGGAAGAATTAGGAAGGAAATACAAATTTCATATTTTTCGGGACAAGACGGGCCGGGCTTACATTTTATTGATGTCACCGTCGGCCCAGGAAGGCTCTATCCATGCGTACCTTCCCGCGTCGTTAATATATATTCGACACGTGAATAAACCAAATAGACAAAAACCCGATTTCTAAAACAGCCCGTTAAACGAATACCGGATAATACGAACATAATAAAAGATCCAGGATATCGAATCGTCATTTTTTTCTTAAAATATAAGTTTCAAGATTTCAGGCGCCAAACTGTATAATAAAACAACTAAAATATTTCTGCAAACCCTACAGTTTCAAGAAGCTACCTTCTTTAGTCTTAGCAAATGGAAATGTAATTTCGGACCAGGATGAACAAATAGCATTATGGTTAGATCACTATATGTCAATCTTTGATTCAAGAAAAGCCGTCTGCCAGACAAACACAAATGTGCATGAAACTCCACCCCCATCCGGTTTCTCCACGGAGGAAATCGAAAAAGTAATTAAAAAACTACGCAATAATAAAGCCCCTGGGCTTGATAATATAACAGCGGAACATCTAAAAACAGCACCCAAAACTGTATCCTCCTTCCTGTTATCTCTATATAACAAAATCTGGGATAGTGGG